TGTAAATTGGAAATTATGAAGACTGAAAAGCGCAAATTTATAGCATCTAAGGATTAGAAATTTAGGGGACTTGGAGGAATAACTTGGGGATTGACCAAATCTTATTAATAATTGATTTTTTTTCTGTAGTTTTCAGATATTGGGATACTGGGATATTAGAGGTATATTAACTTGTTACAAAATGACCCAGCAAGGTACAATAAAGTTTTATGAAGAAATAAATGTTAGAAATAGCGACGAAGAATTATAAGAAGTTGATAGGAATATTTAAAGATAAAGATGTGAAAGTAGAAGGCTCTCAACAAATGGTGGGAAAAGATGAATATAACACACAGAAGACAGCTGAGAAATTAGAAGGAGTAGTGGAGGGGACAAAGCAAAATAAATTACAAAAAGATAAAAATAAGTTAAAAGCAGATAAAAATACTGAAAAGTCAGTAATAATAAATACTAAAAATCAAATAGACAATCCCTTAAGAGCTTATAATAGAATAGAGGGGGGGAAAGGAAGATGTTTAAAAAATAATGAAAGGGTTATGGATGGATATTCAAAAGATGCAGCAAAAAGAAATAAAGGGTAAGGCAGAGGGAACAATCAGTCTGTGTAAAAATGCTAGAAAAACATAGGATTCCAAGAGAGAAACATAAAAGAATCACCAAAAAATCAATAAATGATGAAATTCTAAAAAGGAAATTTATAAACATAAATATATTAAGATTACAAAGTGAAAGACTAGGAGTAGGTATATCTAAAAGTAATTATTATGATCAACAGGATAAAAAATATATTGGAAAATATAATTTTCAAGGACTATAAACTCAGGGGACTTAAGAGATATAAGCTTGGAACATTAAATCTTATTGATAACTGGTTTTATTGGTGTTTATAGAAAATTGAGATATTGAAAATGTGGAACACTGAGTGATATTTATAATAAAATATTAGGGGTTAATAAGTATATTGTATAAAGAAATATTATTGATGTTTACATATACTTTTGGAGAAAGTGATAAAAAATCATAAAGAGAGAATAGTATTGTTTAAAAATAATGACGTAAGAACCCCAACAAATGGGAAAAATAAAGTAATAAGTATAAATTGGGAAAATAGTATAATATAGATTGATACATAGAAAAATATATTGAAGTTGGAAGATAAAAATTTTGTATATGTAATTGTATTATTACCACAAAAATGTTGGTTGTTAAAGAGCAACATTTGGTCTTTATTTGTATATGCAAATAAAACATATACCAAAAAAAGAGAGATATTTTCAAAGACATTATATTAGAAATGCTCTGCTTTTAGCACGGGAAAGAATAAAAGAGAAACATTACATGAAAATACTGGTCTGGCAATCCACAATGGAAGCACTAATACATCCAAATGTTCTTGAACTGGAAAAAATCACAAGATATAAAGATATCCTAAATAAACAATGGGAATTAAAATCAAAACAAGAACTGAATAATCAAGGAATTGATTTAGCTTAGTGGCCACTTATGCAAATACAATCAAGATACAAGAAAGATGCAGATATGTACGGATTTTACAAAGAACCTTCAGAATTAGAGCAGATATTTTTATAGACGGATGATAAACTAATAAAAAAAAAAATATAGCTCCCTATTGAGTTTTAAAATGAAAGAACAAGAAGTAAAAGAAACTATTCTAGTATGGTCCAAAAATTTTGGATGTACTATAGAATTAGACAAATGGCAAAAACTCTGGGAAAGAAACCCAGAGTTTTGATGATGTCAACAGCCTACAAAGAAAATTTCTACAAAATGTTTTATAGGTGGCATTTGCCACCAGCAAGATTGGCAAGGATGTTCCAAAACATATCTCCCAGATGTTGGAAATGTAAACAGATACTGGGTTCTTACTATCATATATGGTGGACCTGTCCTATGGCAAAAAAAAAAAAAAAAAAGTTAAAAATAAAAATGTGACTAGAAGAAATGATAAAACAACAAATAGATCTAAAACCAGAGATGTTCTTGTTGGGTATCCTACTGGAGAAATTAATAAAAGAAATACATATTTAATTTTATATGTGATAACAGCAGTGAGAATTATGTATGCACAAAATTGGAAAAATGAAAATATACCTATAGGGGAAAATGTAATAAAGAAAATACTAGAATGTGCTGAAATGGATAGATTAACGTTGAAAATAAAGGATAAGGAAGAAACAGAATATTTTTTAACTTGGGAATTATTTTATCAAAGGTTAGAAAATAGAAGCAGAAGTTAGAAATTTAGAATCAGGAGAATATGTAAATAAAAATGAAATAAATATGTAATTAAATAATGAATATTGAATAATGAGGATAAGTAAACATTATGATTAATAGACTTGAGCAATAATGATTACAAATGTGATGATTATATTATATATATATGATGTTTATAATGCTTGATATTAGCTAATTATAGATAAAACTGAATAGAGCGTTTAATTAAATAATGGAAAATGTTTAATAAGGATATGTGAAGATTATGGTGAATAGATTTTGAGGATAATAGGTATAGCTATTGTGTGCATAAGATTTATTATTTGTATTTAAAAGAGATTATATCCAGTAAGTACACTGCCATTGTGGATATGGAAATTTTATATATAACAAAGAAAATTTGTAGTACAGTGGACTAAAGCACTGCTATTAACATCTGCTGCTTGCAATTACTGCAAGTTCAAATCTCACCAGGCTCAAGGTTGACTCAGCTTTCATCCTTTCAAAGATAGGTGAAATGAGGACCCAGATTGTGGGGGCAATAAACTGACTTTGTATAAATATACAAAAGTATGAAGGCTATTGCTCAACGCATTGTAAGCCGCCCTGAGTCTCCGGAGAACGGCGGCATATAAATTATAGCAAAAAAAAAAAAAAAATGCATAATAAAAAATAATTTTTAAAAAAGAAATATATGGGATCTGACACTAGATTAATAATTGTATTACTAATTTAACAACTGTAGTGATTCACATAACAATTATGGCAAGGAAAAATAAAATGAGTTAAAATTCACTTAACTGTCTCTCTTAGTAACATAAATTTTGGGTTCAATTGTAGTCATAAATTGAGTACTACCTGTGTATTCAATTTGATTTACAACCTTTGGAGAGCCTTTACTTATCAAATTAATCAAAAATATTTCAATCTCGTTACCACAACAAAAATAATTTTCAATAACTGATTGTCAAGAAAGGATCAGAGAATTTCCAGAATGCAAAACACTGCGTGAGTTTAGCATAGCAAGGCTTCCTTCTGATGACAAAAGCAGAGAACTTAACAGTTTTGTAGAAGTCACCTGAAAATATTTACCTGCTTTATAGCCTCTTTATTTATATTTGTTTTCTGTAAAAGAGGCATGGAAAACAGGTGGTCCTCCTGTTGTTCCTGGCCTACAACTTCCAGAAGTCCCACACAATCAAGTCAGGGCCAAAGTAGTAATAGAATTGTTGGAAGAAATGTCCATCTGGGTTCAGTTCCAAGTGGGAAGAAAGACACTGGAAACATGGGGGCTGTTTGGAAAGATGATTTAATGGTGGACAGGACCACATGGGTTTTTTTGGTCCTGGGCAAATTATACCCTCTTGGGCCCCGCCTTAGAGCTTCCTGTTCCTGTGTAAGGGCAGGTATCCTGATTGGTTGTCAGGCTCCCATGGGGCCATATAGGGGTAACTTTTTAGGTTGTCTTGAGACCCAGACTTGGTTGAATCTTGCTGGGTGATGATGTAAAGAAGAGGGTTGTGTTCTTAAAGGGTGCTGGGCAATTCCTATTATGGCTGAATGGTTTTGTCCTGGTTTGGATCTTGAGTGAGGGCTAATCCTATCATGTCCTGAAGTTGAAGGTCCTTTGTTTTGTAGATATACTGGCCCAGTCTTTTGTCTTGTAGATAGGTTGGCACCGGTCTTTCTGGAGCTACTAACAAAGGTGGGGGCTACTTTCCAAGAGCATGTTTCTCCTTTTTTCATCCAGGGAGGTATAATATTCTGCCTTTTTAATATTTCCTAGAATAGTTCATTCTTCTAGAGAAGGGTGGATGCTAACTTTCTACAGAATGCAACAGATTTTCCTATTATATATAAATTTTGTGTACTCTTGCATAAATTTTGAAGGTGTTTTACAACATAATTATAAGCATATTATTTTTCTTGCAATGGCTAATTCTGCTTATTCTTCTGAAGCCAGTAATTGATTGTTTGCTGGTTATAGCAAACAAGAATGTTATTTAGTGCCATCTTTAAGTCAAACTAATTAAGTTGAGATCTTATCTCAAATCATTCATGCTGAATATGAAGGGTTTTTTGAATGTGGGGTCCTTGGTACTCTCTGATAAGGGCATCTTCACTAGCGTTGCTAATGTTACTTATTTGGGCAATGAAACGTCTGCAAGAAAGCAACCAAGCTCACAAGATACCCTCATTTCAACAGTAAGCTAAAATATTCGCCTTTATTTTTGAAGGATTACATGAACAATAGGCATTTCAAACTGAATTCTCAGCCAGGGATGATCATTGGGTAAATTTGAAATAGGCATTCTCTCTCAGCCCAACCTTCCCCACAAGGTTATTGCTGTGAAGAAAATAGGAGGAAGAAGGTATGTTGGATATATTTGCTGCTTTGAGTTATTTGTGAAAATAATAAAAATGGGAAAATAGAGAAATATAAACCACACAAAGGAGCCTTGTTGCAGCAACATAAGCTTTTGTACATCAGCCCCCAAAACTTCTTCCAAGGCAGAAGTATGGGCTATTTCCCTTCCTGCAAAAGAATTTGAGGGGAGGGGAAATCTGCCCAATTTTGCTTCGGATCCCTTGAAATATGCTACATTTATTGGACCCACGAGTTTCTCTCATGCGGCCCTGCATTTCTTCCTCGTAGGCCACTCGGCCTTCCAAGCTGCTGCCGGGCTAGAGGGCTTGCAGGCCCGCGGTGGCAAAGAATCATATCGCCAACCGCTTCTTCCGCAGCGAAGGCGGCCTCTTACCCAGATACAGGCTTCCCCGGTGATCTCTTCTTCTCCGAGGACGGCTTGGCAAGTAGCCCTCAAGTAATCATCGTCCAAAGCCAGCTTGGCTGAGGAAGCAGCCAGCGTCCCCAGCAGGCCAGCGCCTATAGCGCATGTAGTCCCCAACACCAGCGGCATAGGCCTAGCGATTCGCTTTCGCGAGTCTTTCGAAAAGACGGCGCTCGCGCGTTCGACTGAGGAATTGTTACGTGACAATGTGACTCCGCCTTGCTGTACTTATTCTCCAAAGGAGGTAGTCGGCTAACACCTTACTGTAAACTATGGGTATGCATTGTAAAACTTCCTCAGATGTCTGCAGGTCTATCTATTTTATTTTAAATGTCAGAAATCTTATAAAGTTGTAAAGTTGTGCTGTAACAATGCTCTCTAGTAGAGATATGTGGATTGGAATAAAAAGGGGAGATACATCTCTGTTCCATTGTTTTAAAACTACAGAGAAAAGTTGAGTTTCAATGCACCAATAATACTGCAACCAAGAATTATGTATGCACTTAAGGAAGCCCTCCCTATCCAAAGACAAAAGCCAGAATGAGGATTGTTGTAAATTTCTTACAATATTCAGCATCTTATTACACTTTTGTCTGAAGACAAAATGAAAGTGGCTTAATTGATTATACATGAAATAATTTTAAAACCATTACACTAGAAATCATGGAAAGTAAAGATTTTTCTCAAATGTTACAAATCTGGAGTGAAACTGCATCATAATATGGAAAAGACCTGTGCTCCATCATGACATCTTCAAAGTCACAAAACTCAGAAAATCTTTGATTTCATGGAACATCATATGCACACATGCAGAAGATCATTGAAGATGTACAAAGTAAGATGTACAAAGTAAGGGATTTCTCTCACTGCTGAGTCAATATGCCATCCATACTTTGGGGGGGCGGGGAAACTATCCCAAGATGAAATTGGATTCTCCAGTATGCTTGTCCTTCCCCTGTTGCCAAATAGATTGGTTGAAAAAGCTTAGTAGATGCTATATATCTAGAGAATGCTCTTGGATAGTTTCAGAATACTGATACAGTTTAGGATGATTTAGGATTATCCTGCACCTATTGGCGAGACAAGATGAAGTCAAAATTATGAAGACAAAAAAAAGCAACTTTTCTTCATCAACAAAAAAGGAATGTCCAAAGACTCGGGATGTATTTTCAAAGCAGGACTATATCTGCTTTACTAATTAGGTCTGAAAATAGACTAGAAACTTAACACAGATGGTGAAGAACTGACATGATTGCCCAGGCTTAATTAATATATACTTGGCCAATTTTTAAAATTATTGATTCTGGACACTTTTTAAAGACAGGATCATCTACACTACATCAGAGTAATCCAAAAGGGGATAACTAATCTGTATCTGAATTTACTATACTGGAAATAAAAGCAAAGTATTTTTGTCTGGATAGGATTGTGGGTGGCTTATCATCCTAAACTAATAAAAGTATTCTGAACTAGAGAAGCAACATTTAGCAATGGTAAATGGACAATGGACAAGATGTATTTTATAAACATCTTACATATAAACTTTTGCCATAATTCTCTTGAATGTTCTGAGTACTATAGACCAATTCAATTTGAAGGGAGGCCAGGATCCATGTGGATACTTCCTTAGCAGGGGTGGGTTCTAAATATTTTTCTACCGGTTCTGTGGGCATGGCTTATTTTATGGGCATGGCTTGATGGTCATGTGACAGTGGCCGTGGTTTGACAGTCATGTGACTGGGTGGGCGTGGCCAACTCAATGTCACTCACGTCAAGGGGTGCCTCGTCTGGCCCCTCCCCTCCCAGCCATTCCTTGTCACACCCTGCCTCAATGTATCTATAGTTCTGTAAAAATGTTGTTCACCTTTTTTCAACGTTATTATCTACATATTATAGATCTACTTTCATGGACCACTGAAAGAAGGAAATGGTTCACATGCTTTGCCCAAGAGTGTGATAGGCAACAAGCTTTTAAGGGGCTGCCAGAAGGGGAGGCAATGTATTTTCCAAAGCACCAGAAAGCAAACAAGAAGCAATAGATGGAAACTGAACAAAGAGAGAAGCAACCTAAAACTAAGGAGAAACTTCCTGACAGTGAGAACCAATATAGGTGCAGAAATATTTCAGTCATAATTTCACATATAAAATAGCCATTCGTGTAATACAACCTGCATATTGTTCAAAACAGTCATTAATATTATGGCTGATGTTTGACAGCAAGCCTAAGAATCAAAGATCACAAAAATGCTTCTTTCTCTGTATGTATGCAAAATATCACATACCAGGAATAGCATATTAAGATGGATTTATGCAACCTGATGTACAAAATAAACACGCACATATTTATGCTCTGGACTATAGTCATTGAATGCATGTAAATCCCGGAAAAATATGTGGTAGCCCTGGGCAAAAGAAAGGCAGTAAAATCTAGGTATAGGGAAAGTGTAAAATATTAACATATGATAAATAATGGAACAATTAAAAATAATAGCACAGAGTTTTCTCTCTCTCTCTCTCTCTCTCCCTTCCTTTCTCTTCTCTTCTCTCTCTCTCTCTCTCTCTCTCTCTCTCTCTCTCTCTCTCTCTCTCTCTCACACACACACACACACACACACACACACACACACACACACCCCTGGTCTGGGCACAAAGTATCTGTTGTCTCATTTCTCTCTATAATACACCTCATGCTAATCGATACCCTATCTCTCAACTATGTAAAGCCTATGCATGTTTACTTGGCAGTAAGGCTACTCTCTTTCAGTGGGATTTACTCCTAATAGATACACATGATTGCAGCCAGACAGCTAGCTCCGTTGTTTAATAGGCTGTAAGTAAAATTTCTACATTAACAAAATTTATATCTAAACAACAGAATATAGGAGCAAAAAAATCATAGCAATAGTCTGAGCTATGCTTTTTGTTGGATCGGCGAAGGGAAAAAGAGACGCAACTCAGCTTCAGTCTGTTCAGCACTTTATTAGGTAGAATAAGAACTGCCGGCTGTGCTGCGGAGCCTCCTTTTATGCGGCTCCGGCAAGCCAGCCGGCCAATGACAGCTATTTAAAACTCCCGCTGGTGGAATTGACCAATCCTCCAACGGATGTCCTTATAAGGACATAACACCCCTTCCCTCTTAGTTCATAGTCTGTCAATCTGTGACCCATGTAGGTCACGTAGTCGTGCAGGTAGGCGGGACGATTAATGGTCCTACCTGACCTGCGCGGTTCAGTTCTTTCCTCAACGCTGCTCCGGACGGGTTGTGCTCCTGTTCTCTCCCGTCCCTGTGGCGGTACATTCCGGAACTCAGCCGTTGAGTGTGTGGGGCCTCGCCTAGCACCTCCAGCTGGAGTCGATGAGCCATCCTGCAGACAGTGAGGTCCCTCTTCCCGGCCGGAATGCCAGGCACTCAGTTCCTGGCATTCACCCTGTGCTCGGACTGGACAGTTGAATCTCGGTAGGACCCTTGGTTCTTTTCCCCTTTCTTTGCCTCCCATTCTGGGTGTCCCACAGTCGATGGTGGTGGGGCCTCCCCATGGGAGTGTTCCCGCTTGACGTTGGGGATGTTGCCGGCCGGCCCTGCAGGGGTGATGCTGGCCTACCTTGTCAGGGTTGAGTAGGCCTCCCCCACGGGGTGGTGTTGGTCTCCCGGGCAGGGGCGATGTTGAAACCTGTCGTTGATGTGGTGCGAGTCCCCTGCGCTGGGGTGGCGGATGCTTACCTCGTCGGGTTGGTGTCAGCTTTCCGTGTCAGGTTGTCACCGGTCTACTTGGTTGTAGCGGCAGTCTCTTTCGCTGTGGAATTGCCGGTCGTTGTTGTTTGCGGGATGATGGCCTGTTGTGCTGGGTAGTCGCCGGTCTACCTTGCCTGCTGCACTGCGGTGGAGGTGGCCAGGTGAGGCAGGCCTATCTCATTGGGGTGTGGCAGGCCTACCTCATCGGAGTGTGGCAAGCCTACCTCGTTGGGGTGTTGCAGGCCTACCTTGTCGGTGTGTTGCGGGCCTACCTCGTCGGGGTGGTTTTCCTCAACTTCTCTCCACCTTTTCCGGAGTTGGTCGATGTGCCACCTGCAGGTCCGCCCGTCGTCCAGCTCCACCTCGTACGACCTCGGACCGCTGAATTTCAGCTGGATGCTGAAAAAGCCTTTGACAAATTGAATTGGCAATTTTTATTAAAATTAATAGAAAGGATGCAACTTGGAGAACAATTTGTACAATCTATTAAGGCAATATATCAAAAACAAACAGCACAAATAATAGTTAATGGTGGCTTAACAGATCCTTTCAATATAGAAAAAGGAACAAGGCAAGGTTGTCCCTTGTCTCCGTTATTGTTTGTGTTGACGCTGGAAGTTTTACTAAGTAAAATACGTGAGATGGATACAATAAAGGGAATTAAAATTAGACAGCATGAGTATAAGTTATGAGCATTTGCGGATGACCTGGTTGTTACCTTAACCCAACCGGTACAATCGATTACAGCCTTGATGGATATAACCTGCTTATATGGACAAGTATCTGGTTTTAAAATAAATGCAGCTAAAACTAAAATAATAGCTAAAAATATGGTTAGAAGCCAGAAAGAAGAGATAGAAAGATTAACAGGATTTGAAGTAGTTAAGAAGGTTAAATACTTAGGGGTTTATATTATGACTGCAAATATGAAATTATATCAGCACAATTATGAACCATTATGGCACAAAATACAAAAAGAGATGGAAAATTGGAAAAAACTACAATTGTCTTTGCTGGGAAGGATAGCCGCTGTAAAAATGAATATTTTACCAAAATTTTTATTTCTTTTTCAAATGATATCTATACTAAAAAAAGATGAAAATTTGAAGGAATGGCAGAAGGGCATAAATAAGTTTATGTGGGCAGGGAAGAAACCTCGAGTTAACAAAAGACAATGCAAGATATCCGAGAAAGAGGTGGTCTTAAAATGCCCAACTTAAGACTGTACTATGAAGCAGCTGCCCTCTCAGCAATCACAGACTGGATAAATTTAACAGAGGAAAAGATATTGAATATTGAAGGATATGGTTTGGTCTACGGCTGGCATGCTTATTTAGTCTATGACAAGAAAGTAGATAAGGCTTTTAAAAGTCATATATTAAGAAATTCTCTATTGCGGGTCTGGAAAAAGTATAAATATAAATTAAGTGATAAGTTACCAATA